TGACATTATTCGTTCTACTCAATTTGACCACCAATCTATTGGAAAAAATTGAACCTAGCTGCAATCAGTCGCTGTCAGCACTGCAATGCAACCTCCAGTAAGTCGTTCCTTTGATATACGAACAGTCTTCTTTATAAGAATACCAAGTCGTAGCTATATCGAAGGATAGTAGCAAAATTGAGTTAATTTGGGCAGCAGAGCAGAAAATGCGGCCGCACTCGGCAACAGACAGTGAATGACAGGTGTAGAACCGATCACTGTCAGAGCCATGCGAACAGGAGTGGATTTGGTCTATTCATTGCTATCAAATTGCGACGACTTCTCCTCAATAATCTTTTCAGTAAGAATGTTCTCCTCATGTTCTCTTTGTTCCGGTATCGGCCGCCTCATAATTCATCCCGCTACCAATAATAGGAGAGTCTTGGCCAATAATTTAGAATCAGTCGGCTTGCCCGACAAACGCCGCGCTTTCCACCTTCTTTGGCGAAGTTGAAGTAATCAGCTAACACGAAGGTGGCACAGGTCTAGCAGGGCAGTGCAAATGGTATTGAGTGTGAGTCAATGCTTACGCTTTAATTAGAAGTGCCTATCTTCTGCTCTCACTCCTAAAGACAATTCCCATTAAAGACTCAGTTTTTAGGTAACCAAATCCCTGGGCGGTACTCACATTTGCGATTTGCGCCAAAATTGTCAATTTGGCCCTAGGGCGTTCAGACTTGGCAGGAGTATAGGCGGCAGAATGGAAACACTTATGGTAGGTGAAAGGACCAGACCCCGCTCGTGGGAGGCGGGGCGTGCGCGAATCAGCGCTAGGGCGCTCGAACTTGGTAGGACGACAGGCGGCAGTATGCAAACACTTATGGCGGGCAGTAGGACCGGACTCCTTACACTGGGGCGGGGTTTGTGCGAAATCAATGTCTGAGAAACTCATAAGTCCTGATCCCGTGGACTTGAAGAGCAAAGCCAATAGGAGTAGAGGGGGCAGGATGGGAACACAGACGATAGACGAGGCCTCAGAGAACAAGATCCAATCACCAGTTGAATCCTAGCGCCTTTGTTATTTACGATGTAGCTTTGATACTTTGATGTGTTTTATTCGACAAGAAGGGTAAGCGCACTGCTAGGGACCTATAATGAAATTTGGTTCACTTATTGCTTACGACCGCTACCCACTGAAGTTTGCGATTCAATGAAGGATCACGTTTCTTACTGCTTTCATATCTTTCATGGCAGAACTCATCCGACCGCTAACAATCTTGGATTCCCATTTAATGATATGTCCGTAGAGAAAAAGAGCTACACCTATAAAGACATTTGATAATTATACTATTATGACTCGATAACATTTGTCAGTACCATTCAAGGCTTTGAATGCCTACCAGTTAAAACTTCAATGGGTCATTATTTCTAACATCAGTAGCGACAGATCGAGACAGACAGATTTTAATCAAAGGCATAGGCATCGGCACATTTTGAATATCGTTTGCATGCCCTATTGTTCCTCTATCTGACTTTGTGTTCCGAAAAGTATCGTTCGTTCCAAAGAAGGAGTGTGCTGTTTGGTGTTTATTACGACTCTATCATAGAAGGAGGGAAGCCCGGCGTTAGCCGGGCGGTTCGACTGTCTTTATATATGAAGCGGGAGTTTTGCGTGTCTGTTTGTAACCCGTTTGTGCGTCCTTTCGAAAGTCACTCAGGCACGACGAAGAGTGTGAATGTGAAGTGAGCGCGATGAGGAAACAGTTATGAAATGGGAAGTCAACCAATACTGTTCATATTGGTTCTCTAACAAGTCGTAGGTAAGCGGTAGTAGGCATGTGGTGCACGCATTAGCGTGCGTAGCCCAACTGGTAATAGCATAAATAAACAGAATTTTCATCTGCTCATCCTAATGCCTCTAATGGGTCCTCATAATTGCACTTACCACTCCCTTTTGTCACCCTACATCCCGTCTTATCGAATGAAACAGACTGGACAGTCAGGCTACTCTTAGGCCCCTTATCTTCTCAGATCAATTATTATCGGTTCCTGTTACGAGTACCTACCATCCCGTTATATTCTACATCACATATCAAAATATCGAGGTCACACTGCTAATACGAAATGCTGTATTCCTACCAAATTTGAATTTTTCAGGTTCCCGGGAACACGAGTAATGAATGTCCGCTCAACCATTTGTTTCGAGCACGCCTCGTCCCCCCTAAGCGGAGACTGGCTCTTCTAGCTGTCATTAGTATTTCCATCCTGTCGCCTTATTCCTACTGAATTTGAACGCTCTAGGTCCACGTAAACAGTGGTTATGAATTTGAGGTCCAAAATTGCTATCACACACACAAACACACACACACCCACACACCAACAGACACACTTATTGGTTAGAGAATTACATGTAGTAGGAGTACATACATGACGATAAGAAAGGCTGTGAATTTGAACATTCAATAGCCTTTCTATCATTATTCGGCAACATACGAGGGTATCTTTGAAGGCTTCTGTTGACTAGGCAGTGCATGCGTCCCTCGCCGTATTTGCACTGCCTGCGTAAATGAGTAGTTAACCTTGAACAATTTCGTGATGAGAAATGAACAAATTGTTCCTGAAAGAAGATCAACCGTGTATCCCTACTTAGTAACAGAAAGAAGGGAAACCCGGCCTAAGGCGGACCATTTGACTGGTATAAATAAAGGCGGACCAGTTGACTGGTATAAATATATTTACATAGTTGTTAACCATATGAGGCAAGTATGTATGTGCATATACGCAAATAAACACTTGCTCATATACATATTAGTATGTGTAGTTGCATTGAACAACTTGATTATGATAAGATTTCTTTTGCTCATTCAAGAAGAGAGAGGGCCATTTCCATTCTTGTGTGAATGTCAGTAGGTCTTTCATGATAGAACTATTGATGGTGAGTGAATTGACTCTTGGAAGGAAGGAACGTTTGTTGGTTTCCTGGATAAACCCACTGTTCATTTCAGCAGCTTTTGTGTTTCTTCGGTTCCATAAGTTTTGTTAGCTTGTGTGTTCAGCCGAGAGAGGAGAAAAGCATCGGACGCATGCCTGTTTCGGTACAAAGCTTGATTCCCATCATTAATATTGAATGAGGCACACTTTGATGTCCTTTGATGCTGCTAATTTTCTCTTCTTTAGAAGAACCCGCATGAGGGAAGCGCTGAAAAAGTGGATAAGAAGAATATTGAAGGTAAAGGAAATACAAAAAATGGTATGTAGGAGTTATATAGTTGAGGGACAGAAAAGATGGAACTCCACTTCTTGACAGAGGGCCAAGCAGATCCACAGATTATTAAGAAGACACAAGAGAAAAACAAAGAAAAAGTGACTAAGAATTCTTCCAAAGATGCTCCAGTAATATCATCTGGTAAGCTGTTTTTCGATTGCTATTTAAGATTAAGGGCTCTTCATGTTGTTTTTCAGTCAGTAAAACTACTTGCAGACAAAAAAATGATGATCAACTTAGCCCTTTTTGGAGGCACGGTTCACGATAATTTTGGGAACCTAGTTTTAGATGAGTAAAGGAAGTTGGCAGTCGCCCAGCTAACGCCAGGTGCTCCTCCTTCCCGTGTGACAATGGCATGTCGCCTGCTTCCTATCCAAATTCGGACGCTCACACAGTAGAACAGAATGTAAACGTTTTCGGCTAAATGCATACACATACACACCCGATACACTTCGTGAGCGCCTTTCCCGTCATGAACGGAGTTCTACTCAACTCATGTGTGAATAGGTAAATTGCTCCATTCTCCTCTTTTTTTCAACTTCCCTGCGCAAATTCACGGAGATTTCGTTCATTTCACGCACGCTCTTACACCCCTGCGGTGGAGTCTTGTCCCGCCTATTATTATACCACCAGTTGGGCTACGCACGCTAATGCGCGCACCACATGCCCACTACCGCTTACCTACGAGGGCCAGTATGAGCAGTATCGGTTCACTTCCCATTTAATAACTGTTTCCTCACCACGCTCACTTGACATTCGCACTCTTCGTTGTGCCTACGTGAGGAAGGACGCACAAACGGGCATACAAACAGACACACAAAATTACCGCTCTATATATAGAGACAGTCGGACGCCCGGCCTACGCCGGACTCCCTCCTTCTTATGATAGTTGTGATAAACGGGAAACAGCACACTCCTTTGCTGAAAATACTGAATGATGCTTTTCGGAACATGAAGCTCGATAGAGTAACAATAGGGCATGCAAATGATATTCAAAATGTGCCGATGCGTATGCCTTTAATTAGAATCTGTCTGTCTCGATCTGTCTCTGTTGATGGTGAAAATAATGACCCATTGAAGATTCAAGTGGTAGGCACTCAATGCCTTGAATGGTACTCACAAATGTTGTCGAGTCATAATAACACCGTTATCAAATGTCTTTATGAATGCAGCTCCTTTGCTTTATACATCATTAAATAAGAATCCGAAAGTATTAGCGGTCGGATAAGTTTTGCCATGAATGATATCAAAGCAGAGAGAAGCCGTGATCCTTCACTGAATCGCAAACTTTGCTGGGTAGCGGTCGTAAGCAAGGAAAGTACCAATTTACATAATCGGTCCCTATCAGTGCACTTACCCGTCTTGTCGAATGAAACATATCAAGGAATCAAAGCTAAATTGTAAACAGCAAAGGCGCTGGGATTCAACTGGTGATTGGATCTTGTTCTCTATGGCCTCCTCTATCGTCAATATTTTCCATTCTGCCCCCTCTACTCCTGTTGATTTTGCTCTCCAAGTCCTGTGGGATTGGGAGTTATGGATTTTCGCTCAGACATTTACTTCGCACAAACCCCGCCCCCCAGTGGGCGGAGTCCGGTCCTACTACCCACCGTAAGTGTTCCCATCCTGACGCCTATACTCCTGCCAAGTTTGATATCCTGCCACCCACCATATGTGTTTTCATCCTGCCGCCTGTGCTCCTACGAAATTTGAACGTCCTAGGTCCACGGGGACAGGAGTTATNTGCCACCCATCATATGTGTTCCCATCCTGCCGCCTGTGCTCCTACCAAATTTGAACGTCCTAGGTTCACGGGGACAGGAGTTATGAATTTCCGTACAAACAGACAAACAGACAGACGGACAGATGGACGGACAGACAGACGCGAGCGCTTTATATAAAGTAAGGATAAGTATTCCCATCATTTCCCACGTACTCCTTCCGGACTTAAGCGCTCTAGCCTCACATTGGTGTCTTTTGCGCATGCCCCGACACCGTGGGGGTCATGTCACCCCCCATAGAATAGGGGTTATGAATTTTCTCACAAACAGTTATCTCGCGCAAACCACGTTTCTTGTGGGCGGAGTCCGCTCATGTCACCCATGAAACTTATTGCTTCGAGGAGAACGTGACGCATGGAAGGAGTGTTGGACAGCTCCTACAACGCTTCAACGTTTTAGAACTCCTTTACGTTGGCGTGAACGCCGAGTAAGCTCTTTCTGGAGCCGCCTTTTCTTGGCCATTTTTTGACGTGAACTGTGCCTTTGAGTGAAAATGGAAATGGAATGGGGGAGGGTGGAGGCGCGCATCCTACTATATAAGACATACAATGCGCTGAGTGTTCTGTTGGTTTGACTGTGTGTGTGTATTGTGGGCGTGTGTGCATGTTTGACAGGACATTGTAACTCCTATTCCGGTGAACCTATAGTGTTCAAATCTGGTGGAAATACGGATTCAGGACAAGAACACTTATGGTAGATTGCAGGAACGGGTCACATGGGCAGGATGCACGAAATAAATGTCCTGTTCTCTTGTACCTGAAGCGTTCGAAGGAGGAAAGGTTTGGTAGGGGTGAAGGCGGCAATAAAGGAACACTGATGGTAGGTGATGGGAGAAGATAATATTCTGTAGAAGTTGAGCGTGAGTTAAAAGCACACCGTAAATGTTTGACGATAGGAACCATAGTAACTGCTAGACGAAGAGCTATAGAAGCCCTTCTTCAACTCCCTTCGCATAAACAGTGGAGATTTGAAACTTCAGAAGGTGGTGCGTTAAGTGAAAAGACCGTAGGTGATTGATAACAAGGACTTATAGGCCCTTCTTGTTGGCATTGAAACCTTGGCCTTTCCATCGGCGATATAGGATGTTACATGGCCGTAGATATCTGTGACTGGGATTGACAAGCAATTGATAAGAGCAGATAACGGGCTTCAGAGAGCAAGAGCCCTTTACCAGTTGAATCGTAATGCCTTAGCTATTCACGATCCACCTTTGACTTTTGGATATGTTTCATTCGATAAAACGGGTGAGTACAGTGGCAGAGATTAGTTAAAGGCATCACATTGTAAGCACATGAAAATTTGGTTCATTACTTGTTATTAGTTTACTGCTCAGCAAGGTTTGTGACGATGGAGGATTACGGGTTCCCCACTTTATGCGACAAACTTGATTTTGATTCTCAATTTATGGTATCGGCTTACGCCAGGCCTACTTCCTTACTTTCACAGAGCAGTCAGAAAAGGCAATAAGGGCAGGGGGGAGACGGTATCGTTTCTTCTCAACTCTGACCTGAGAGTTTGAGTGTTCAGAAGGGGTAGCCGACCTTATCTGTGCTGGGAGTCGGTTCTAGGCACTAGGACATAGCTTCTACCTAGGCCTCAGGAGTGAGGAGCGTTGGGTTGGGGTGAGATGATTACTCGTTCAAAAGCTAGGATGGGGTGTGAGTTGAATATCCAATTGGCTCACTCACCTCGGTGATCCTGAAACTCAAGTCAAAAAACTGTATGTTCTCGGTAAGGAGCGTTCGAAAAAAAGCCAAGTTCCCTCAACTACATTATCACTTCCGATTATTGTATAAACATAGCACGATGCCAGTACAGATCGAAAGCGCATTTATCAATTACCCACTTCGCTTCAAATTACCCGCTTCACTTCGCAGTGCTTACTCTGCTCCATTAACCTACCCACCGAGTAACTGCTTTATATATAAGATAAGAAGGAAATGTTGAATAGAGCTGGGTTGTCCGTATCACTACCTTTATCGTAATCATGAGTTTCACTGACGAACAGACAGACAAACACACAAACCGACATATCGACAAACCAACACCTAGTTACTGCCTTACGACTAAGAGAGATAGAGAAAATAAGTTATATTGATAAGGACATCTGAATGTGTTGAGTACGAATCAGGGCTTCGGTCTCTTGACAGTTAAATCTTTAATGGGTGATCATTATCATGATGAAAAGCAATAGATCGAGACTTCTGGTATTAGGCATAAGCATCGGCGCATACTTAATACCAATTGCACTGATCTTATATCACATACATGATGTCCCAAAATTATGAGCAATAATTCAGAAACTTTGAGGTAGTAATAGTTTGTTAATTTGCCTCCATTTCCTATTATTCAGTTGCGCACGTGGGTTTTCTTGCAACGTGCATGGCTACCTCAAAGGCTTCACCATCTTGAGCATATTGTGAGTGAGGCTCACAGAATGCTCAAGATGGTGAAGCCTCATTCAATGCCATTTACAAGCATTCGCATGCAAGAGGCTGAAAGACGTGATGGAAACTTTTTATCCCGAACAACACCGTACAGCAGTCTACAAAATGACACAGAGAAGCAAAAAGACAAAGTCGGAGTGGGTAAAATTGTCAGTTCTGGCATGGACAGGACTATTAGAACAGCCCGCTTGCTAGTTGATGGGGATCCTGAGTGACCCCTGAGAAGGGAGGCCACTGAGCAGGAATCAAGAAAGTTGTCGATTTGGCGTATTGTTAGAAGCTTCATTGCCATAGCTATGGTCTGCATAAAAGCAACATCATTTCCGATCTTGACAGAAGTTGTAGGGCTAAAAAATGCAAAAGGCTGCTAGCTCACTTAAGTGGGGCACGCATAATTTGATCAGTTTCACTGACAAGAAACTTTTCACGACAAATGCAATCTTCAACAAATAAAGCGATGGCGTTCTGGATAGAAACATCGATATTGCAATCTCTCATGCAAAAATTGTTATGAAAACAACAAAAAATGTCTATTGGAGTACGGGCAATGAAAAGAGGTTGGTGGTTTTGTCAGTGCCGGCGTGCATATTAATAAAGTCGTGTACCTAAAGAGCATATTGAAGCGTCGATTCGACTCCACTTTCTAGAACACCCCGCGGTCCTTTTTATCAAAAGGTATTCCAGCGCACAGAGCCGAGCCGAAATCGTTCAGCAATTGTGCCGACGCCAGCTGCCCAACTTCATTAGCCCTCTGCATGGTTCCTGTCTAGAAAAGAACCTGTCAGAATCGCAGTCCCAACTTGAAGTGGTTGTGAGCGAGTTAAGAATGGTTGGGATGAAATGGAGCAAGTGCAACATGCGAGTAAATCGAGAATAGACCTTGGGCCCTTTTCCGTGCCAATGGGTTGTATTTTGGAAAGTGATTGCAGCTTGCTGTTGCACATAATGATCGTGAACGCACATAAAGGTTTATAGTTCAGCTTACAAGCTCCAAATGCATTGCAATTAGGAGATAGGAGGGAATAGGCGCCCATAATTTTGGAACAACCTGCATACCAATTACCGTCTCGTTGATCATCGGTTCGCTCTAGTAGACTCCAGTATCGTATTTGTTATGGACCACCAAATTCGTCAGGCCTTCCTTATCCTAGCGACACGAGAAGACCATTTCCCGATCAGAACTTTTCCAGAAAATCTGAGAAATGAACTGGCCAATGTCCTGCTGCTTGACATCACCACTCAATAATCGCCTTGGTTGTACGGTCATGGCAAAATCGCATAAAGTGCCTTGCTCACCTTGTTTCTGCTTTGTTCGACTACGCTACTGTGTGCCTGATCTACGTTTTCTGACGGAGCTTGGGATTTTGGTTCCTCTCTGCTTGTGCGTGTATCGGGAAGCACATGGCATCTCTTTTCATAACACATTGAATGACGCTGGTTGCATGTTCATCGTGCTTTCTTAAAGTCCATGTGTGCTCGGAGGAATGCGTCAAAGCAGAAAGGATAGTAACGTCGAAAAAGTAACCGCTAGGAAAGATTATTTGTCTTCTTCACTATCCCTTCGATGTTCTTGAGTGCCCACCATAAGCGCATTTGAATATGCTTTTCTTCGAAACTATGTCGTCCATTATGCTGCCTTCTCGACCGAGATACACGTAGCTGAAGCGATCGTACTTTTAAGCGTAAAGGGAGCATCATGAACTGCTCCGTTTCTCATATCTCTTCAAAGTGGACATAACGACATTCTGTACTCTCCGATATTTCAATGGGCCTTGCGATGGGATGTAGTTGATTGTACTGAACTCTGCTTACTCATTTGGCTGTCTTTCATCTGGATTCCCGTCAGGGATGACTCGTATGAGAGGCATATAAATTTCGGAGAGGAGGCAATTTACGCGATGCTGTGGAACAAGACAGACATAAATGCTCAAGAGTTCAGTGTAGTAGTCACATATGATCAATTCCGTTGGCCATAGAGAGGAAATATCTTTTCCGTCAGGACGTCGAAGACAAGTAACCTTGGCCTCGTAGTTGTTGCGAATGTTCTTCCAAGCACTGGTGCCTCGACCGGATCTGCTGCTTTTCTCCCTATAGCATCCTCTTTCACAAACAGGATGGTTCTCACGATCGAACATTAAGGGTAATCTTCCGCGGCTCGTACGACCCCTCAGTTTGTTAAAAAAAAGAAGGGTTCGAACGGACTCGCTAGGTCTTTGCTCACCTATCATTATTGTGAGGATGTTCGATGAGCCAAATGTGCTGCCAAATGTGCAAGCCAATGACAACGCACGTCGAAAATTCGCTTAAGACCCACGTCAAAAGTTCACCGATCCCGATTGGTTCCAGATTACTCATCAGTCCTACTCCCGGAGTGTTCCCCCTTTTAACTACCATGTGCTCCGCCTTTTTGAGCATCTCGTTGTAAAAAAGAAATTCGTAACTTAATGTGATCCAAAAACGGTAGTCAACTACTTCTCTGAGCCACAGCTCCCTCACATCTGAAAAGATGGCATCAGTGTTTGGCTCAAAGGATGAAAAAAGGTTGTTGACTTCTTCGTTAAATATTTTTCCGTAAATCGATTGATATTAAAAAAATTAGAAATGATTTAAAAAAGGTCTTCATATTGTCGCACGACTTATTTGCCAACCTAATACTTGTGCAACTGACTAAAAGCGAATAAAGTGTAATAACTTCCACGTACGGCTTTCTATGAACCTCGGCATAATTGTTCTGTTACTGTTGTTTTCTTTAACTCTTCACGAGGTTGGTATTCAAGCTTTATTAGGCTGACGTTTCTAAATTCCCTCCCACCTCACAAACACCCAAATGTTTCTGGATCGCCTTGGCGCACTGCACCTCAGTGGTTCGTGCGTCATGGAGTCCTTCGATGTAGAAGCCCTTTACACAAATGTCAGCAATGGGTCTGCTATGGAAGCCGTGGTTGAGCTTCTTAGTCAGCACCAAAGCGATATAAATATGCGAGGGCTCTCTATATCCCAACTGATGGCACTTGTAAATGAGTGCCTCAGTTGCAACATTTTCAAGTGGTCGGGGAGATATTTCGCTCAGACTAGAGGCTTAGCTATGGGACAACGATTGGCACCTGTCTTGGCTATAGCATTTATGGCCAAGATTGAAGCGCCTGTACACGAATACCTGCCCTTACTTTACTGCAGGTACATAGACGACTGCTTCATAGTTTGTGCGACACAGAAAGAAATAGATGTGTGTTTTGANAGTCCACTGCCTTAGGGAGTCATCGAATACAAAAGCACAACGGAGACGTTTTTGAAGTTACCGTGGAGGTCGTTGCACAGGAATCGCAATTATGCGCGCGTAAAACCCTCGAGGCATTTTGGATACAAGTCACTGATCCAAAAATGAATCGTAGGGAAGAATGCCTCGCAATCACGTGGGAGCTGCGGCCTTATATAAAGTTGGCCTTCCCATAGAGACTCTGAATGAAGACCTACCCCAGCTGAGACTGGTCGATTATTTCCATCGTCGATTGCTGGTTGGTTTCGAAGAATCCACCAAGCTACGGTGAGTGATTCTCCTTTAATCACCTGCGTGCCCTGGGGGTCTCGAACTTCAGTGCGGGCAGTGGAGACGTTTGGTCGGATAGTCATGAATTGTTGTGATCTTTCTAGGCTCTGAAGAAGGCGACTCTGCCGAAACGTCAGCCTAATAAAGCTTGAATACCAACCTCGTGAAGAGTTAAAGAAAACAACTCAGTAACAGGACGAATAAAGTGTATTCGATAAATTATGTCTAGATAAAGTTTCTAAATTTTGACGCCCATAGTATAAGAAAAATTTGTAGATATGAATTAAAAGAGTGTATTCGACGCTTAATCCGCTCATTTAAGTGTTGATGGCTGAATGGGAGCATGCGTTTAGGTGCAAAATTTGTAAACAACTTGTTTCCTTTACACATCTGTGCTTGTTTCATCATGTTTCAGTTTTTGCATGTATCTCAAATAATGCATTTCGGGCGTTTCATAGTTGAAAACCAAAAAGTCAGATAAACTACCCGCAGAAACGTTCCGTCTGAGGTAAATGCGATTGGCGTGAAGGATAGCCTTAATAAGATCTCAACTCCAACAAGTATCAGAAAATGTCATAAAAGCTCTTACTAGAAGAGAAGCACAGTCATCTGCACTGCGGCAAACGCCTTCGTGGAGCATTGATAGTGCTGGACGACTGAGCTGCGCAAAAATCATGGCGAGGGTGGAAAGCAAACCCACATCTTTTTCTTGGAGAAAGCACTACCAATGCTCCACGAAGGCTGTAGTGCAGACGACTGCCTATTTAAACTGGAACAATCTAAAATGAAACTTTGAGGGCTTATGAGAATTTTTGGAGCACCCGTTTAACGATTCTGGTTCGAAACTCTATCGATATGTCAGGGTCTCCATCCAAACCTCATGGAAGGTTGAAACCGTTCATTGGTAGCGCCCTGCATTGGTTCCATACTTTTGTGGTTTGAATTAAGCACCCGAAAGATCCAATAGCTAGCTTTATTAGATCTTTTGAGCTCCGAGTGCTACTATGTTCTGGGTCATTAGTAGAATTGTCCTTCTTCATTGATGTTCATGCCAGCAATAAGGAATTATTTTGTTTTCTCTCAGAATCCGCGGGCGGTTCTGGTAGAGCAGCTTTACCTCAGACGGATTTGGCACTTCTGGCTGCTGCAGAGAAGATGGGTGGGTACCATTCCTTGACCACTACTTTTTCGTTTTTATTTCTTTATTTCAGACGATTTCAGCCTTAGAGAAAGGTGATTACGATACCTTCGGACCTCCAGGAAAGAACCGTAAGCATAAAAAGAAGGGCAAGTGATGTGGTGGCACGACATAGTTATTTCACCATTCGAAGAATTCAGCGTCATATTAACTAAGCCACTGAGCCATAGTGTCTATGCATTCATGAATCAATAAACATTTCACAGATATCTTCTTCATCTCGTGGTTTTACTGTTCGCATCCGATAGATCTATCTTAAGTGAAACAAAATACCATGTTACATGATCAGTTGCTATGTATAAGATGAACTTCCATTCCCTTTTTGATGCAACATCAATGTCAACAGTGTCCTATAGTCCATGCGCAAAACTGATCTCTAGTAAAGGTAGATATGACTTCCATGTATTATACAAGACCGTATATGCCATATGCACCTACAGCACAATCCCTCTTCAGAATCTCTTCTTCCGTTGCCACGATACCACAAATTTGCAAGCTCTTACCACCGAGTGAACTTCCATAACGGGTAACTAGGCTTCTTTTTTCTTCTTTTAATCCTGTAGATTGTACAGTGAAAACCTCCGAACATCTAATAAGGGATGTTGTCACAAAAAAAAATCTGGAAATGCCATGGAGTTGTAGACTCGCCTTGAAGCCTCACTGTGTGGTAAAAGTATTCCGTGGAACATTCCAAGCAGTAACTTCCTCGTACGGCTTGGGTGTCCCAAAAGTTTTGAGAAAATTTATATGGTTTATTCAACCCAAAAACACTACAACAAAAAAGTGAGATCAGTACTCGAGATAGTGGCCCTTTTTAGCCACGACGTCCCTCCATCGACTGGGCAGAGCACTGATGCCATAGATCTAGAAAGAAGAGAAACGCGACGCGATCCATTCATCTACTGCACTTTTGACCTCCTGACGGTTATGAAATTTTTTCCCTGTGAGGTAAGCTTGTAGTCTCCTCCCGGCGTGGTAGTCGCAAGGGCTAAGGTCAGGTGAATACGGAGGGTGGGGTAGCCAGGTAATCTCAAGGATGTCTAGCTCCTGAGCCGTCGTCCTAGCATGATGTGGTCGAACGTTGTCCATCAAAATCAGAAACTTTCCCTGCATTCGGTGTGAAACCAGGGCTCGAGACACCATCTCCCGCAGTTGTTCGCAGAATACCCTTGCAGTCACAGCAGTAACCTCAGGTAGGACCTCATAATAAAAAAAGCCGGCGGAGCAGAAGAAGGACGAGATCATCTCCTTTTTGACCTGTGCCCCACGCTTTGCAACGGCTTCTGACCTTGTGTCGATTGGTAGCCACTGCAACTCGCTGTGTGGATTTTCATAAGAAGTCCACTTCTCATCCTGAGCGATGATGAAGCTCGCCAAGCCACCGTTCGCTTGCGGTCGAGAAGCTTTCAATACACATCGCCCCGCACCTGACGCTCGCTCTCAGTCATGGTGTGGGGGATAACTGCACTAAGTGCTGCGCGAAAGCGACGTCTGCGTAGGATGTCGTGGATGGTGGAACGGGAAGCAGAAGCCGTCTTCTCCATTTCTCTCAAGCTTTGAGAACGATTGCTTTGGACGTAGGCTAAGAGAAGGTCGATCTTGGTGGAAAGTGGACGCCCGCTCCGTGGCGGTTCGTCGAAGTGAATCTCTCCACTAAAGAAGCGACCGCACCACCTATAGCAGGTAGCAAGAGAAGGTGCAGTACTGCCCGAAGGTGTCTGTCGGACATAATTCAAATAATGATAACTGGCTTCCAAAGATGAAGTGCAATACTGTTCTATTGTTTTGACGAACTACCAAGAGTGCCCTTATCCTGCTCTTTTTTCTATGGCTCTGCTTTGGCGCTTTCTTGCGCAACATGGTGGCGAAATTCAGGACCAAAATTTTCTTAAAACTTTTGGGACACCCTGTATAAACCTCAGCATATTTGCTCTACTACCGAGTTGATTTTTTGACTCTTCACGAAGTTTGTATATAAGCTTTAACACTGCGGCAATTCCATCGAACGTCTAGTTTGTGGAGTTCGTCTGAATCTCGAGTCAGTGTGTTTGGAGGTTTCCCACAGTCTGACTGCGCTCGTCCGATCTTCGAAATGGGCCCGTGTTTTTCTTTTCACAGTCAAATTCTAGAGTTGTAATGGAGAAAGTAATGTGCAGTCTGCAGGAACTTAAAGATCGACTCCGTTATAAGCCTATGTGTATAACAGCTCTTTGGTGGCAAACAAGAAAGAAATGGATAATCATTCCTTTAACGCTACATTTTCCAAGCAACAGCAACCACACACTGATTCTGATGCCAATTTTCGGATTTTGCTGACAAAATTTTCAAGATGTTGAGTAGATTCCAATAACAAAAGAATGCATCTAACATTTCACGAGAGTAAACACGTGGTATCAAGGAACGTCGAGACCTGACAAAGCCTCAAGCCATGCTCTCTGTCAATGACAAAGCAGGAGAGTATATAGTGATTCCCAAATTGTGAAATAACAGCGTACCATCTAAGTATCAATTCTCTCTACCGCCCAGCATCTGTCAAGGGATTTCAAACACGGTTTCATAGACTGAACCGGATGTGGGTTTCAATAGCAGGTCAGCAGATTATTCATGTTTTGTGTCACGGCTCAAACTTAAGTCGCATTATTGCCCAGAGTTTTAGCCGCTCATAAAAACACACAACTTTTTGGATGCGGATGATTTAGCTTCAAACAACCCAACTTCCGTGGAAGTGCGTCCTATCATAAACTGCGTGGGCGGCCCTAATGACCGAATTGCGTGGTTTCATAACATGATTTTGGGGCAGTTCTTCATGTTCATACCCTCTCACCTTACACACATCCGAATGTTTCTGAATATCCTTGGCTCACTGCACATCAGTGGCTCATGCGTCATGGAATACTTCGATGTAAAAGATCTCTATACAAACGTCAGCAATGAATCTGCTATGGTCGAGAGTCTTAGTCAGCGCCAAGTTTATATTAAAGGCACAGTTCACGATAGTTTTGAGGTAACCGCTTTCATTCGAAGAGTGGAACTATAGATTGGGAATAGTTCATCGGTAGTGAAGAAAGCGAGAGAATCCGCTGTTTCCGAGAAAAGTACGGCTCTTCAAGAGAAGGGAAGATTGAGTTTGGACGAGATTTCCACGGCGGAAATAGCACGGAAGGGGTATTCGGACGAGATTTCAGTTGTTCAACTGCTCAAAGAGCTAACAACATCAAGCCAGAACTGTGCAGAACTGTCCTTCACTGTCGTTATGGGTCATGATAATTTGTTTGAACTCCTTACATGGGTTCACATGTGATCGGTGCAGTCTCTAAAACGCCGGTGAAACCCGTCCGAGTATACACACGGGCCAATCTTTGAGCCTTTACAACTCCCTAACTAGGCCGTTTCCGACCCAATAGTGCCAGATATTGTATACGCAGGGGCCTCGAATTCATCCTGTGGGGAAATTCGAAAGCCTTTTTCATCGTGATCTGTGCATTGAATACGCTCTCTAATCCCAACTGGGTGGCACTTGTAGGTTACTGGTTCAACTGCAACGCCTTCAGGTGGTTCAGGAGGTATTGCGCACTGACTAGAGGCTTTGTTATGGAACAACGATTAGAACCTATCTTGGGCACAGCATTTATGACCAAAATCAAAGCGTCCACACTTGAATACTTGCCCTTACTTTGCTGCAGAAATATTGATGACTGCTTCATAGTTTGTGCGAAACAGAATGGCATAGGTATGTATTTCAGCATACCGAGCTCGCAATCAGAGCACATCAACTTAACACGGAAAAAACCAACAGAAATCAGCTTTATTCCTCAAACGTTCGAGCGAGGTGTTGGGCGATAAGATTGTTCGAAGTGGTACGGGAACCCAGCAAAACGAATGTCGTCCCTCATTACCACTTAGCTCATCCTTTTTACATAGAACAAGTGGTTGAAAGGAATGTTCCCGCACTGTTGAGAAGCATTGTACTGGGAAGGGTTAGTTAAAAGAGTAATTAAAATGGCGTGCGATATCGCTCTAATGTATGGCCACTGCCATTATTTGACTATGCGAAGTGCTTGTTCTGGCGGCGCGATCCTCAAACATAGTAGTACATCGACTGATGGGAAGATTCTTTTCGTACTACCATTTATCTCTGATGAGGTAAGTGCCACTATTGGGTAGTCTTCAAAGACATCGGGTTTGAAAAATGCGGTTGCTATTGTAAACATACCACCCTCCAATCTAAACAAGCGCCTGTTTCTGGACAGTTATGCGATCGCCTATGTACAACCTCTGCCCGCCTCAGCCTGCAGAGTTGGCAAGGGGGGGGGGGGGGGGGGGGGGGGAGGTGAATCCAAAACGCCTCGAGGGTTTTTCCGATAAGTAGCCGATCCAACAATGGATCATGGAAGAATGCCTCACGCGTGAGCTGCAACCTTATATAAAGTGAGCCTTCCCGCAGAGACTCTGAATGTAAACCTACCTCAGCTGACACTGGTCAATTGGTACCATAGGTTGCTGGAAGCTTTCGAAGAATCCACGAAGCTGTGGTGGGTGGCTCTCCTTCCAATCACATGCATGCTGGGAGTCTCGAACTTCAGTGGCGCAGTGGAGACGTTCGATCGAATAGTCACAAATTGTTTCGATCCATAAGGCTGTGAAGAGAACGATTCCACCGAAACGTTAGCCCGATAAAGCTTACTTACAAACCTCATGAAGAGTTCAAAATATTGACCCAGTAATATAGCAATTCCATGCAGTGCCCGACTACTCACCGCTGCATCCCCATGGACTTTTTCGACATTTTCTTTTGGCAACGTAGGGGAAGTTTCTCGTTGATTCACACCTTCCAATGACACTTTCTCTTTGTAATACAAGAAACTCCATGAAGGAACTCTCCAGAAAAAAAATCGAGAGGTGTTCTTAGAGGCCTGCGGATACGAAACCTCGTCCCTTTGATAAAAAATTCTGATCCTAAGTATCAGCGTGTTCGGAAAGTGGAAGGAGTTTTCTGTGGTACACGTATTTTCAAATTCCACAATTTCTAACAATGATATAGAATGACAACGGTGATATGTATGCATAGATCAGCTCGCTTCCGGCTTTTGAGCGTCG